TACATTTTTATATTGAATTCTCAGCATAGAATTAATCAGTAATGGTCAAATACTGTTCTACTCTCCAAAACCACAGGTATTTAACACAACACAAATTTGGAATTATATTCCACAACATATAAATAATTAACGTTTACATACTTTGGCACAGATTTTGAAATGAAAAATACATATTTTAGCAATGTTAGTTTTAATTAGAACTCATTACTTTGTGTTTTAGGTGAAAGCAAATCACAAAATTTCACATTCTTTACACTTGAAGTTTTTAGTTCTCAGAAGTAATTTAATCTAATTACTTCAAGTAAATATCTTTATCTGCATCTAAATATGTGAAGTTAAATAATTTTTATTGTGTAATCAATCTTGTTCAATCAAATAACTCAATACCAATATTTCTTTTCAGAAGATGCAAGATAAAGTAGCTCCTATTAGTTGCTATTTTCATTTAGTTAAATAAAACATTCGCATTAATTCCAATGAAAAATCATTGAATTATCTCTGTTATTAGCACACATGTAAGTAAAAACTTCACCACCTCCCCAATCAGAAAAGGCAGCCAAATCATTATATTTAAGAAACTATAACACAGATATAGCCAAGGACATTCACAAATCATGATGAAACGATGAAACCAAATTACATCACCTACCCAACAACTACATAATAAACAACGAATAAAATAAAACTAAATTGGGGGAAGTAAACGAGTTAAGATAGCTGACTTATGTAACAACATAAAATATTTTAAAATGAATAAAATTAAATGTTTTACAATGTAAAACATTACATTAAACATTAAGGAATTATGAATTTGTACAGCAGTAAAACGTTTAGTTGTGTTAACCAGTTCTAAAAAGTACACTTCACTTTCAATTAGATGATAAAAAAACCATCAGAAGTGACCAGTTTTTCCCCCAAAATATTTATACTTGTAAGTATTCTATCCCCGGGTATCCTGTCTTTTATTTTTAAATGGAAGTCTGGATTGATATATCATAGAAAAAACTTTATTCCACAGCTGTACTGGCTCTTAATACTTTATCCGCAATATTGTTTCACACTACCTTTCCATATGCAAGTATTTATTTAAGCCATTATACCTTCCCTATTATACGCCAACAAGTAGTGTCAAGTACACGTGCATTTTGTTTGCCAGATGACACCCAAAACAGTCATCAAACCAAAAAAATTCACACTTTACAACAAACTAGGCAATGATATCAAAGACAAACACAATTCATACATTTAAAAGTAAATTAAAAGCTTTCTTGCTTAACAACATGTTCTACAGTGTAAAGGAATTTTCAAATTACAACATTTGCCTTAAAAAATATAAATAAGAATTTCTTATCCCATTAGATTTTCTGTTTCATGTAAACCGTTTCAAGCTGAAGCAAAGAAAAAAGAACAGGCATATCGTATCCTGTGAAATAGAAGGAGAATAGAAGAAAGAAAAAAAACTGGTCAAAACTTGCCTCCTCACCATTTCAAGTTTTAAATACAGAATGTACTGCTATTGTTAAATTTGTAGTTACAAACATAATTGATATGTATTGTTCCAATATTATTATTATTATTAATG